AATTCCACTTGTGCCTATCGTTTTCAGTAGGGGATAATTTATTAGTATGAGTCTATGTCACTTCTGTCTCATGCGTAATTTATTAACGAAATGAACCAGTGATATGTTAGAGAGAGGTGGAGTATAATAAATATGATATATAATTATAACATCTGACTCCTCCACTCAACTTCAGCTTCCAGGCACTCGTTATTTAACTGTATATACAGAATCTCGTACTGACCGTTTTCTAATTTTGACACTTAATAGCACCAACGGAATCGAAAATTTAGGTAACTCTAGTCACTAAAATTATATGCTTGATTACTCCCCACAAATATTATAATTACACTGAATAAACTGAATTATAAGACAACCACCTATAATAAACTCGAGCGGTATCGTAATTATTGTTTCGTTTGGACAGATATATTACTTAAAAAAGCTGCCTATAGATAATTAGACATATAAACCCCCAAAAACAAGTTATAGACCGGTAAGATTTACCTGATAGAAGGCAATCGATATTGTTTCGACACTAAAGACTATAGTCATTTATGTAGCAAGACATGGTTCAAAACGCAATTACTAAAACCAAATTTGGCTTTAAACCTTTCTCCAGTAACATTACTCACTGGCGGACTACTTCAAAACAACCGTGACTATTATTAAGCTTTCTGTCATTCCACCATGTACTGCACGTGTCCGGTGTAATGTAGTCTGACATGGTAGATAAAAATTACAGCCATACCAAATTTCACAGCACAATCTAGTTTTTCAAATGAAAATCAGATCACAATATGACAAATTCATGAACTACATGAACGTAAACATGATCGTTATTTCAGCCTATACTAGACTTACTTGACGTGACAACGTTAATGTATCTCCGCTGAAATTTCACTCCTATGGTCAACAATAGTGAATTTGCAGAACAGTAGTCTAGTTCGGTATTAGTGCTACCCTAACAATTGATCTAGTCCCAAAATTGCAGATTTTTCACGGCGTGACTACCTGATCTATGAAGTCTTACGTGGAAGTCACACCATTGTCTACACTGACTCGTCTTATCATGACAATGAGCAATATAATGTTTTGCACTTGAGAACACATTTTGGCTGAGGATAGAATAATAAGTTTAATGTGGAAAGACATGGATTACATACAAACGACCACAACTGCAAGACTGAGCTACACCATGGCGATCAGTTGTTCCAGCCTTCACCATTTTTGACCTTTTGGTGTTAAGTTTTCAATAAACACTTTCTCAGTTACCTCATGTTCAGCTCTGAGGATTGTGTAGTTAGAACCAATACTAGCACAAACCAATCTTCTACTTCCTCCAGTAAATAAGAGATTCACGATTGACTATTTCTGATACCATGATGTTAGTATGCATATCGATGTAAAGATAACCACACAGGCCACAACCTTGAGTAAAAAAGAAGGGAAATTCCAACTCAGAAAGTCCTTTGGTTAGTCAATGGAAAGACAGACCGGTCAACAATTGGTAGTGGTCGTTCCTCCTTCATTATGGGGGGCCCTCAGTTTAGAGTCATTGCAAATAAATGAGCTTGGATTATTTTCTGTGATCCATGTGCTCCTGGGCAGATCTAGAGATGATAAGACTAGGCAGGCCAAAGCGATTTACGACGACTTATTTCGATGTAGAAGTGTGGATAACACAAACTTCTGTGTGCCAAAGAGGCCACGTAAATGAAAAAATCTTATGCGGATAGGTTTGATTTCCCTAAACATGAGTCTCAAACTGAAAAAGAGATTATGGGCATATTTGGATTACAGTTAAGTAGTATCTAATCCCAATGTAAGAAAGTTGAAAGTCTGTTCAGCGAGATGGATGAATTGCATGAAGTGAGCGATGCAAATAATGCTCATCTGATAGGTGTGATAGAAACATGGTTATCTTCCAAAATAGAAGATCAAGAACCGTCCTTACCGAGCATGTTTCCGTTCCTCATTGGTGGTAAAATCGGAATATGTAATAGAACTGCTTTATACATTGGTTGTATATCACCATCAACCCAAAAATCATAGGAAATTCTAAAGTGAATTCAAATTCAAGACTGGTGTACCATAAACTGTTATATATAGATAAGCATACTCCATCCAACCCAGACGTGGTTCACTTCACAGTTTTGAGAGCGGCATTTTCGTTGCTAGTAATACCCGTCACTTTTCTGTTCTCACACTCCTTAAACCAGGGATTGTTCCTGAATAAGTAAATCAGGTACGTGTCACCCCAGGTTTCGCAAACCAGCAGTCTTTCAAACTACCAACTGATGACTGTTCCTTTGTTACTCAAGGTTGTGGCCTGTGTGGTTATCATTACATTTCTGTGCGTACTAACATCATGGTATTAGAGAGTCAATCCCGAATCCTCAATTTATTGAAAGCGATAGATGAGTAATCCACCATTCCTAACCATGATGGTTAGGTTTATGATTACTGATTTCAGAAAGTAGATTAAAGAATCTGGTTATTTTGAAAACCTTCCTCAGTTTTTTCATTAAGATATAAACCTTCAGATTAGACTGAGATTTTATCAGTCCAGTGGTGCTAGTTGCTGAGTTACAGAGTTTGTTTTGGGGGTCTTTAAGCAGTAAAAGACATTGATGTGACCAAAACTTAATATCCGATGAATCAGGAAATTAAGACAATCAATCAATATTACCATTTATTGAGTTTTTCTCTCAGTTTTGTATGTGTTCACTATTATCTACTATTTGTGTAGCCATATCTTGGATATTTATCAAACTTGTTATTATTAAAATTGTAGATCTGTTATGACGTGGCTATCTAATCTATAAGGTTTTACGTGGAAGTCATATCATTGTCTATTCTGACTTGTCGTATTGCGACAGTCAGCAATATAGTGTTTGGCGCTTCCAAAGAACACATTTAAGCCAGAGATAGAACGATATATCAAATATGAATAAAAGCGATGAATCTTTTTAGCAATTACATGCTCGGCTTCAAAGGTTGTGTGGTTAGGAACTAATGCCAATACAAACCTAATGACACTTTCTGTAAGTGTTTTCTTGTTAAAGGCACACTACCATCACACTAGGAATGATGTAGCTACATCCTTACACAAAGGGGACCACTTGATAGAAACTTTCGGCAACTAACCGATTTTGATGCTCTCCACGCAGGGATGTTTATTGGAGAAGTTAATTTCAGCATGCTTATTAATATGTACCCACCAAAATTTTCGATAACTCTTTGTGGTACCCCAAGTATCTCGTCCCATCGGTTTTCTGGAGTTTTATCAAGGATGCAAAAGTTAAGCGTCTCTTTATAACTTGGAAAGGGTTGACTGACGAACTGCTCGAAATCATTTTAGTGTTTGCCTAAAAGCTCTGATTACCTTTATAAGATTGTCGCTCTCTTAGATTGTGTTCAATCAAGGTATGAAAAGTTGTTTGGGCTGAAGGACAAACCCTACATAGCTCTCTTATCAGCTCCAAATTTTAACCTGTACAGTATGTAAGTGTTAGATGGGACGTGGCCATCATATTTCATGTCCCTCTTAATTCTCTTCTCTCCAATAAATTCACTACCAAACTGTTAAACTAATATTAATGTTAGAACACGATATGAGTAGTATGGAAATTTATACGAATTTCTCTGTGGTGAGAATTCGCAAGTGAAATTTACAACAGGAAGTAATGATGATGTGATTTCTTGATCATCACGTCAAACGAAGGCTCCCGTTAACTTAAGTTCACAGATATCGAGGGAAATAACTCAAGATGTAACTGTCCCTCGATTGTCGTTCTGTGTTTTTACCGGAAGGAATTACATCGTTTCTCATCATGACTACACACTAATACATATGTATGGTTTATAACAATGAAATCAATATTACGTACCGTAACGACTTGAGGAAATCAAACAGAGCATAAGAAGAATTATATCTCTCCGTCAAAAAACAGCCAGAAGCCAAAGCTCAATAATATTACTACTTACTGGTCTGCATAACAGAGCTGACTACCTAACCAGTATTAATGACTCATGAACTTAGATTTGAAATACTAGGAGGCCCATTATACCACGTTATAACCTACGAGTATTGTGTCGACAGAAAAAACTGTTACTCTATGTTGGTGTCCAATGCGTTATCATAAGGTTCATGTTGTTCTGAAGCTATCAGATTTTGAGATTCAACATGACTCGGTAAATTAATTAGAACTATATTCCTCGGCCTTCTACCACTACGCTAGTTGAATGACTGTTCTAAATTTAAATATTATCAATTTCTATCTTTCAAGAGAGCTAACGATCGCTTTTTCACAATTTCTGAGGTGATGACTTTAGAAAAGAAGTATGACGAATAAGCCAGCCATCGGTTTGGAGGTATTGTATTTAGGAGACGATATCAATTTTGGCTTTGTAATGAGCCAATTAACACCAAAGAGATGCAGGGTCCCGAACTATCCTTGACCTTCCAACTTTGTCAAGAGGAAATAGTAAACAATCGTTTTGCGACATTGCCGTTCAGATTGTAAGAAATAACTTTTGGGTACTGAGGGATTATTACTCCTGACGCTCCATCTGGAATATGGATCAATAGAGTTTTGCCTAATTCAGGGGCAAGTGTAACATTTTGTAAGCTATTCTCATGAAGATGCTACAGGCACTCGGAGTTTGACAACGCTTTAATCAGTAACACCTTCTAATATGAATCGTACCCACCAAGTGAAATCCAAAGACAAAAGCGAGGAGGTTCGAAGATATATTTTATAGGCTATCAATATATCGAGGATCGACTGATCTAATCTGGCTAGCGATTGCAGGGGATGTTGAGCATGGCGTTACCAATCATGATTCGGTGTGGATGCATGACCGAGCGCCTTCAGCTGGGTGAGTCCATTAAAACGAATGTGGTCAGCATACAGTGTCGAAGACTTACAGAGTTACTTATTTTGAGGATTTATTTACCGCTACACTCACTAAGACGTCTGCAAGCATTTATAGGCAGGCTCTTTCGTTATCCCTCACAAGATGATACGCTCAAGGATGCATTTCAATGCTAAAATACAATAATGACTTTCTAGAGTGTAAAGGGTTACGAAACCACTTTACACAATGATATTACGGTTAAATAGATGCTAAAAGTCAGATGCCTTTTAGCACGACGAATGTGACTCATTTCCAATTCTCGAAAGATTTTTACGTCCCTTTTTCTCAGAATCACTGTAAAGACATCTTTTTGAAGCGGGGTGGTAAAATGAAATGTTTCTTGATAGAGCGTTGAATTAACACTAAGAAGGTACGTCAGACCTTAAAACTGCAAATTTGGAGCCGCGGTTATCTTAAGTGTAGCGTTACTACTACTAGTAGTCATACTTCTTTACTCGAATTCTTCTGGTTCTCTGTGTTTATCATTTCAGCATAATTCCATAGTTGATTTAGTGCTGAAGTCTTGTAGGACTATGTCTCGCATAAAATATTGTGGAAGACAAGTGAAAAGCTATCCTTTTTCCATAAATTAAGTACTGTTGCGTGACAATGTCACGTGTCAAGTGTGCGATATCTCACACTACCAATTCTGGGAAACTCTGGGTAAATTTTGAAAAAATTAAAACCTAGTTTCTTTCTGGGCTTTCCGTTGTGATTTCTCAAAATTATCTCCAGCGTTTAAACGAAACTTCCTTAATTTATCAGTCTTCCCAAGCTGCCAATTTGGGGGAAGCCGCTATAGTAAATTTTGTGAAAATGGCACGAAAACCTCAAAATTTCCCCAGACCTGGGGAAATCCCCAGAATCTCCCCAATGTTGTGACAATTGTCACGACGTCTCGTTTAAAATTTCCTGATTCTTACGATGGACACGTTACTTATTTTTAATGGATTTTTAACCGAGAGATGTGTAAAAAGACATTCCCGAAAGAGGTTATAAGTTAGAAGTCCTAGTCGAAAATGAAAACAAAAAGCCACAGTGAAGAGACATTTGACCTTTCTGTCATTCTACTTGTTTTATGGCTCGACTTTACAATACTGATGTGGTCAACAGTGGAGGTTTATATTTATTATTAGAATACAAGATTTCACATAATTTACCACCAACTGGCGTTCTTCAGGTTGTGCATACTACAGTCTTATAATATAGGTAGGGTCATAACATTCAGGTATTCAGAAATTTTGGTCATTCAGTTGTAGGCTAGAGGGCTATCTTGACCATCGTATTTTCGTGTTTCACCACACCCATTGTTTCTTTTCCATTTTCTCAAGCAAAGCTGGAATAGTCCTAGTGATTGTAGGGATTACTCATGTGGAACTTGCAAGTTGACTGAAAGTCCATTATGTTTCATATTTTCCGTTACTCATTCCTGTTTCGATATTCCGTGAAAGCTTTCTCAATAACATATTACTTCGGCTTTGAAGGTTTCTTTCTAATCAGTCATAACTTCCTCGTAAATACAAATTGGTATCCGATTCACATAATTTATTTTAAGTTCGTAGATATGAGCTACTTCAAGTGGAACCTAAAGCGTGATTTCATTCAGTCGCCCAGGTTTTCGGTTTCCGGTCAAATGATCACTGCCGAAAACACTCCACTTATTTCGGTATGATTGCCGTAAAATATTCGGCCATAAATAATATTTAAACGTATACTACTGTCATCAGATTGTATATTGAATGCTACATTTATGTTGGGAGTCTCATCCCTGGTGGGTCGGTGTCTGGTGAAATTTTGACACGAATTCAGAAAGCCCGGCTGATTATTGCCAACGCAGCGTAGAAGGAACATCCGTTTGCTAACTAAAGAGCAAGTTTACTGCTCACCAGTCCTCTGCATTCTTCTTTATGAGTATGGAATATGGCTTTTAAAAATAGAGAATGTTTGTAGGTTACTGGTATTCGATCATAGGTGCCTTCAAAGCATTACTCCTGTATTTTGGAATAATCGAGTTCCCAATGTTGTGGTTAGACGTAGAGTATTGGGTATGTATTAAAAACCGATTGACGAGGTATTAGATCTGTATTGACTGAGATAGTTGGGACATATGTTACGTATGCCTATCCACCGATTACCTCGATGCGTAATGATTGCTGCTGTACCAGTGGGTTAGAAGAAAAGTAGAGGCGGCCCAGCCAACAAATGACATCAGGTGTATATACCTACACCATTGTGATCGATTCTGACCCATGTCACCCAGAGTTTCCAACCGTTGGTTACGATAGTCGCACGGACCCCAACCAAGTAGACTGCATCTACCAACATGGCTCACACCAGAAGTTGTTGAGGGTGGTTGGAAGAAAGTTGAGTCGGCCAAACCAAAATGTGGCACCAGTCCTTTAAGTCACTAACTTCTAGTCTGAGTCATGTTGGTAGATGTAGACTACTTGGTTGGGTCCGCGTGACTATTACAACCAACGGTTGGAGACTCCGCGTGACATGGCTCAGGGTCGATCACAATTGCGTAGGTGTATACACTCTTTGTCTTCCCCTAAACCATGAGATTAAATTGCTTTATGCCTTTATTTTTACGAACGAGTTTTTGAATCTGTGCAGAGATTTCATCAGACATCAATCTACTATGGGTGGTCAGACTTCCAAGATAAGTGAGGTCATGGACGCGTTCGATTACTTCACTCTTGGTCGCGCTCCGCGTGATCATCGTAATTAATGGTTGGAGACTTGACATGGAAGTTCAACATCGTTAGCGATGGCCTAGGTGCATTCACTCTTTGTCTGCCCAGAAGTTCGAAGTTCCTAAATTCCTCATTTTTTAAATTATTCCACTCATTGATATGTTCTCGAATTGTATCTTGCATGCCTTATCCTTTCCATCATCACTATTAGTCCCGTTACTTCCTCGACTACTTTGGGATTTACTCTGACGATTTCATGTCTGTGCAAAAGGGGTGTCACCAACTAATGTACACTTGTACCAGGTTCTTACGTCGTATTTGACTGATTGGCCATACTTTGTGCTTCACTTTTCTTAAATTTACAAATCTGATACCAGATCTATGAAAATAAGGATCTATGTCTTCCTAATGGTTCATTTTATTTACAGTTACTACATGTGTGACCACAGCATTGGTGGTCATTGTTGTCATTCGCATAAAGCCGATAATTCCCCATCGTTTAGCTTGTACTGGTTTATTGATACAAATAATGTAGAATGTTTAAATGAATCTGTTTCTGGAAGTGGTAAACTTGTTTTCAAGCCTTATGAGGTATGCTTGCTGTTTCATAATTACTGTGTTTAGGATCGTAAAGATTCAACTGTTTATGTTGAAAGTGATGTTGATCAGGAATTGTTATTTAATATACCGTTTACTGGAAATATAAAACTAATGAGTATTATTATTTCTGGTGCTGATACCGAACAACATCCAAGTCAAGTGTCGTTGTACAAAAATAAACCTTTCATGACATTTGAAGATTTAAGTGTAAGTTTATTTTAAACTAAAAGTAATTTGATGCCAAGAAAATAGGCTGAATGTGAACAATCACTCGAATTAACTGTTGATCCAAATGGTGAAGTGATATATCCATTGAAAATTTCACGATTTTCTAATGTGCAAACGCTGAGTTTACATTTCAGTGCTAATTACGGGGGTGATACAACACGGATTCACTACATTGGCTTGCGGGGAGATTATACACCAGCACCGAGACGAGAAGCTGTTATTACAAATTACGAAGTAACTCCAAATGTTTCCGATTTAAAAGACAACATATTACAAACCCAGAGTCGTTTTGTTGAATAAATATAAGTCTTTTGTTGTCACATGTTTTTTCTTCTTCCAATATTTTTATATGTATCATTTTTCACTGAATAATGATATTATCTTTTAGAAAACATGAATGTAAAAAAGACATGAGTTTCAACGTCGACTTAGTTCAAAACATCTCTCAACTTCTTTCACCTCTAATTACTGAAGATGAATTAAAATATCTTGAAAAACTTCCGAGAGGACCTTTATCTAGTAAATCGTCTCATCAAGATACTATTGTTCCTAATCTATTGAAAAATGCAGAAGATGAAGTTCTACGCTTATATCATAGGCAGGAATACTTTAGAAAAGCTTATAATAATACACTTAAACGAATGGATACTTTAGCTAATAGTCTACCATCATATGCTCTTGATTATATTACAACTTCAGGGTATCATAAAGATGCACTTAATAAAGAAGATGAAGAAGAAGAAGATATTCCACTTGACCCTGATTATATTAATTTTATGATGAAAACTATACAACATCGTCAAAATCGTGATAATATTGAATCAAATGTATATGATATTCAATCAATGTTAAAAGCACCACCTCGTAAATTGAATCAATCTACAGATATTCAAACAATTGATTCTCAAATTGAAATGCTTGAAGCTTCTCTATTACATTATTATGAATTTGTATCACCTTGTCGTGATTCACCAGTTTGGCCTGTTTTACCATTAAAACGAAGTTTGTAATTATTTAACTTTTAATACAAACATTGATTATAAATATTTTCAAACATCTTACCTTCTTATATTTTTTGGAATATTTAAAATGCTATTTGTTACTATCCTCTCTTTTTTTTTGATATTACAGACAATGAATAAAGTAATTAACAGTGTATTAGATTGAAGCCAAAATCATATTACTGGAGATTTAACTATTTTATTTAACAATTTCTATTGTTATTATTATTATTAGTATTATCATCATCATGGGTGTACGAGGATTAACAACCTACTTACAAAGTGATCCACGAAATTTTACTGAATATCAATTACATAATACAACTGTGATTATTGATGGATTGAATTTTTTAAATTTTCTCTATTTTGATTCTGGATTATATACACAATTTAATGGAGAATATTTAGCATTCAGTGGAGTAATTCATCGTTTTATCAATACATTAAAACGGTGTAATATAAACCCTATTTTTGTTCTAGATGGGTGTCATGATGTGAGTTCAAGCTCTTTTTATCAGTATGAATGGGTCTTTTTCTATGCAAATCAATAATTAAGCACAATTTTATACTTTAAGCCCTATTTTTATGGTTTTCAAAACGTCACAAATATATAGAGCCAGTCTGTAAGGTTTCACTGAACTTTAATCAAAAGTATTGTTATAGTTTGGGATAATTGTGACCGTGGCCACTGCCTATCTCAACATGTGATGCTGGAAAACGTAAGTGTAGGTTGGAAGAAAGCTACGAACATATAAATCAAGACGTGTTTTCTGTTGATGAAGATATTGACTATTGATCTGAGCCATGCTAATCAGTGTAGTCTACCTGGTTTAGGTTTGTAGGATAATTGTGGTTACTTTTGGAGGCATTAATTGTTGTAAGTCAGTATCGATTTCATCAATTTATATACACTTATCCTTTATCTTTCCATAGATCTTGAGTCCTAATACTATTTGACAATATTTGCAGAATTTTTAAAGAGTTTGGTAGACTTTAAAATTCTTTTTGGTATAGCCATGGTTGATGGTGCTAAATGAGAATGTCCAAGCACTTATGCAAATAACTATATTAGAATTAATGATCAAGTAGATTTACGATGACCTTTCCATTTAATATTGTGTTTGTGTAATTTTTTGGGTCCTTAGGTTTGTAGACAGTAGATACACTGACGTTGTAAAACTTGAGGTACTATTAGCTATATGTACTCGATGTGACAGAATTATCCCAATTACTCCTTCTTTAGATAGTTCTTTTGAATACATTGGTTTCTTTGAAGTATTACAATATAGGACATTGCTTTGTTTTTGTTGGCTTTGAAAGAAGGGTTTTTTGTAAATTCTGTTGGCCATACTTTCTTGGAGTTAGAGACAAATTCTGGAATCTCCCATCTTTTTTTCCTCTGGCATTATAGTCATAGGTTGTCAAATAGATTTGAGGATTACTTTTAAATATTACTTTGATAAGCCACTGAGAACATTAAAAATGACCAACGTGCCTTCTGTATGTGTCTTTTATTTGTTTGTTTTATTTATTTGAACAAAAATATTGGTACAAAGAGGTACCGAATACATATGCGCCACACAATAACAATGAGGTTGTGAAGATATAGAGAATGTACAGTGCGTACAATAAAAAGGCGAATAACAATAAACAGAAATAAGTGCATGAGGGTGAAATAATAGTAATGGAAAAGGCAGTTCAGTTATCAAAAATACAACCAAAAAGAATTCATCCAGTTAAGGAAGTTACGTTCATTTTTTATGAAGAAAGTTACTGCAGAATCGCCACTGGCTTCTATTATGAGCCATGTCTGATAACATGTGTTGCACCATCTCTAGGACCCCAACCAGGGGGTCATGAAGGGCCAACAGAAGCCATTCTTGCACAGCTTTCTCCCATACCACGACACAATGTCATAATTTGACCACCTCTCCGCTTTCTCCGACCGGTTCTGGTGTCGGCAAATAATGTACGATGTGGAATTCTTTGGGACGACATTCGTAGGGCATGTCCGAACCACCGATGCCCTTGTTTCAAGATAGTGACACAATTGAATTATCTTCGTTGTGCCCGAACAGACGATGCTGAACCTCTGCATTACTATCATGGTGTTGCCCCTGAATGTCAGCAATCCTCCGGAGACAACGATGATCAAACACAGTGAGTCGTCTAACATCATCAACCTGGAGGGGCCAGGTTTCACAAGCACAGAGCAAAACTACTCTTACCGATACGTAGCAGATCCGATCTTTTATAACCAGACTGACATCACGAAGGCGCCAAAGATGTCCCAAACTGGCATAAGCCTCCGGCTTTCACTATACGTGAATTGATCTTATCACTCAAGCCACTACCAGCACTTATGCAGCTACTCAGATACACGAACTTCTCGACTACTTCTATCTTCTCACTACCCAGGGTGGGTGCAGGTTCAGGGTCCTGCCAGTTTTGCTAAAGTACTTTGCACTTTGAAGGTGCAAAACACACACCATATCTACGGACACTACTTTTCCAATTGATTAAGTACGGATTGTATAGCTTGGGTAGCATCGCCCAGTACGACAATATCATCTGTATACTTAAGGTTGAGAAGCTTTTCTCCAGGCAATAAATTCACACCACCATTATCTATGTTCATCTGGACTGTTTCCAGAAGGTCATCGATAGCATAGTTTTGGAGGAGGGGTGAGATTAGACAACCCTGTCTAACCCACTGCTTGAATGGAACAATGGAGAGAGGTGGTTGTATGCCTTCACTTTGCCTGAGGTGTTGGTATATAGGGCTTTCAAGATATTAATAAACCCAGGCATACCCTTCCTCAATAGACAGTTGCAGAAAACATTCCTGTCCAACTAATCGAAGTTGACCCTAAAAGAGAGTAGATATGTGACTTAGTATAAATGGAATAAAAATGAATGTTATCAAGTGATTGTGAGTGTGATTTGTCTGAATGTTAATTGAAGGAAGAATAACTTTTCCGGTAGTAATCTTCATTTGGTTTGTGTGTGGGCTGTGATACTGCCTGAATGTCCAAACCGAAGCAGGACATTTCGCTAAAAATGCGACTAATTATTGCCTTCAACAAGTGCCCGTTCCTTATTTTATCAGAGCATGCAACAGTCGTGATATTAACTGTATCAGAGGTTTGCAAGTGCAGTTCAGGGTTTGATTCACTTAGTGGGCTCTTTCATAATTTACCATTAAATCTTACCTAACTTTTTATGAACTGATTATTTCCGATTTGATAGATTGGTTTCAAATCGTCGATTTGAAATAACTTTGTTTAAAGTACTAAACGTTATGGCCATTTGTTGTGCGTAAGGTATTATTCTATCTTTGTTGAAGTTTTCGACAGATTTCCCAAATTGATTTTATGCTTAAGTGAGTGGTGATTATTCTAAAAATTGACAGCTTGGCAGTCAAAGAATTTGACCTTGAATCAATAGGTCACAGGTTGAGACGTCTTTCCTCCTACTTCGGTTTAAATAGCTGTGCTGTATCAAAAGTCGTCGATTAAAAGATAGTTTGGCTCAAACCCAGATATATAAACCTCTACTTAGTAAGTAGGTCTCATTATCATTATCAAGAAGATCGAGTTGTTGACCCAAAGCCCTTAACTAGTCAATACCGATATCCAGCTTTCAATAATACTTGTTACTTCATAGCGAATTTCTATGGACTAAACATATTAGTTTACGAAATAGTTAACAGTAAAATAAACATTTTTCTAGTCATGTAGAAGGTAATTATTTGTCAGATACAAATTCTATAGATCATTATTCATCAGACAACAAGATTAATACCTTTCTCTACTGAGTTCAATCGTCAGCTACTGTATTACTGTATTGTATTGACTGGTTTCCTAGTATTATAGTTATACTATATGTCTAACTATCTAATTGTTTATTTATATCTATTTATTTAAATACATAAACATTGGTACTAGGAGGCACCAAACAGATATGCGCCACATAAACCATTCGATTTTCGTGAGGGCTGATATACTGCCCGGGTGCCGAAACGGAAGCAGGTGGTTTTCTTAGAAGACCATACTGCGAGTCTTTGACCCAACGGTCTAATCCACAAGGCAGTGGAGCAACGTAGCGCGATGTAATCCCATGGTAGCCGGTAACCAACAATAGGTTCATACGCCATTTGTTCCTTCAGGATCCTGGAGCCCATGTACATTACTGGTTTGGAATTAAGGTTTTCCAACTCCCCTAGGTGAACTCTCTGTGTCCACCAACCCGGTTAAAGCGCTGGATATCCGGTTTTCGTCCTCTCAATCTCGTAGACAACACCCCCGCCGCGAGAAAGCAGTGATTAGGACTTCCCTGACAGTGGTTGTATGCATGTGGCCAGGTAAGAGCATTTCGAGAGTTAGAGTTGACTCTCCCCATTCTCATCTGTACCAGGATATTTGTGGGTTAAATAGGTTGTCTCTGCCATTAGTTTCGAATCAAAGGGGTTTTCCAATTCCCGTAAGGGGATTCTTCGTATCCACTATTATCAACTAATATTAATGAAGTCGTACTAAATAATAAAATTTTGTAAAAGTTTCACAATCAAATTCCATCTAATCTTGTAATTATTTACAATCATCTTCATATTACATAATTATTGATGATTAGTAGTATAATTGGCTCCTATCAAATTTTTAATCAGTAGTTTCTTTTATTATTATTATTTTGAATATTTATAAAATTATTTTAATAATTCACTTGGTATTGTTTGGCTTGTATCTTTCCATTGAGGTTTAAGACTGCGATTGATCAGTCTGTTATAACAATATTAAGTGAATTGCAACTTCACCCCATTGCACAAGCAAGTGGCTATCAGGACTCAGTAGCTAAGTGGATAACGCGATGACGTTTGAAACGAATTTTACTGGGTTCGAGTCCCAGAATGAACATCAACTCTGAAATGCAGATACATCCAACTGACCAGTCCCCAAATAGGCGGAAACGCGCGTCGAACTGGATTCCAACGCTAGCCACTATCCATCATTGGTTACAAAAAGCTTATGAATTAAGGCAATATCAAGGCATACGCACAGTATGCACATATGCCAATAACAGACTGATCAATTACAGTCTTAAACCTCAATGGGAAGATACAAGTTAAACAATATAAAGTGAATTTCAACTTCATCCCATCGCACAAGCAAATGGCTATCAGGACTCAGTAGCTAAGTGGATAACGCGATGGCGTTTGAAGTGAATGTTACTGGGTTCAAGTCCCAGAGTGAACATCCACTCTAAGATGCAGGTACATCCAGCTGATGACCAGTCCCAAATAGGATGAAACGCGCGTCAAACTGGATTCCACTGCTAGCCACTATCCATTATTGCTTATTTTAATAATGTTAAAAACTTTTTTCCTTTTTTTTTTGATTCCGTAATATATATGTAGCATTTCAAATTGAATACACAAATGAAAAGAAATTATCAACGTATGCAAACATGTCGTCAATTATTAAATTCTATTAAACATAATCAATTATCATCAACTCATTCATTATATAATGTTCAATTACTTCCACCATTAACCATTATAACATTTATTCAAATATTAAATCAATTAAATATTCATTATATTACATGTGATAGTGAAGCTGATCAAAATGTCATGAATTTAGGCATATATTTTAAATGTCCAATTATAAGTAATGATTCCGATTTTTATATCACTATCCCTAATCATAATCATAATGATAATCCAATGAATAATGATGATGATGGTGTCTCATTTCTACCTTTATCATTGATATCCTTTAAACCAATAATCAATATAATCCCATGTTATTCTTGTCAAAAACATAATCAATTATGTATGTATATAAAATGTCAAAAATTTTTAATTAATGGACCAGGTTTAAAAAATTTATCCATTAATCAACGTTCATTATTAGCTTGTTTATTAGGGAATGATTATATTTCATCAAATCAATTTATTCATAAATTACCTATATCATTTAATGATAAAACAATCTTATTCCATCATCATAATACTATGACTAAACAAATAAAATTAAAACGTCGTAAATTGATTATATTACAATTAATTAATTGGTTATTACAATTTAATGATAATCATAATGATACTAATCTTGATAAACCAATTCAATGTTTATTAAATAAATATCCTAAATTACAACGTAATCAATTATATCATCAATTAATGTATAGTATTCATACTTATCATATTCATTCAAATTTATTCTATTTACATTTTAATAATGATCTAAAATTATTTAAAAGGATTCCTACATTTGTAAATAAAAATAATATAAAATCTGATATTGGTTGTACTATTGGCAACAGTAGTAGTAGTAGTAGTAGTAGTCGTTGTAGTCGTAATACAATGATGAAATCTGTCACAATTCAACAACAATTATCATCATTAAATTCATCATATTCTTCGGAATATGATAAGGAAATTGATGAAAATCAAATATTAACTATTAAAGAAGAAGATGATGATGTTGATGCTGAAGATGATAGTCGTAATACAATGATGAAATCTGTCACAATTCAACAACAATTATCACCATTGAATTCATCATATTCTTCGGAATATGATAAGGAAATTGATGAAAATCAAATAATAACTATTGAAGAACAAGAAAAAGGAGGAGAAAGAGGAGAAGAAGAAGAAAATGATAATGATTCTGAAGATGATAGTCGTAATACAATGATGAAATCTGTCACAATTCAACAACAATTATCATCATTGAATTCATCATATTCTTCGGAATATGATAAGGAAATTGATGAAAATCAAATAATAACTATTGAAGAACAAGAAAAAGGAGGAGAAAGAGGAGAAGAAGAAGAAAATGATAATGATTCTGAAGATGATAGTCGTAATACAATGATAAAATCTGTCACAATTCAACAACAATTATCATCATTGAATTCATCATATTCTTCGGAATATGATAGTGAAATTGATGAAAATCAAATATTAACTATTAAAGAAGAAGATGATGATGTTGATGCTGAAGATGATAGTCGTGATACAATGATGAAATCTGTCACAATTCAACAACAATTATCACCATTGAATTCATCATGTTCTTCTGAATATGATAGTGAAATTGATGAAAATGAAATGTTACCTACTAAAGAAGAAGAACATGATGATGATGATGATCATGTTGACCGTAATAACAATAATGATGATGGTGTTAATGAACTGAATGAATATAATACTAATGAATCTATTCATAATAATAATCATAATAATTCATATAAAATAACAACATATTGGCCTGTTGAATTATTAAATTCATTTAGAAAATATTTAATTTTACCAATATTTTTAGATAGTATCTTATCATATGGTACAATATGTCTATGTTGTATTGAATCATTATATCATTATTCATCTATCTATTCTAATACAATATATCTTCGTACATTAATTTATAATTTATTATTAGGCATTGAATCAAATTATACATTACGTTATCCAAATCAATTAATTGGTTTAAATCAATTAAATAATAATAATAATAATACTTTGTATTATATTATAGAATATGATCGTAAAAATGCATTTCATATCAAAAAACGTAAAATATTTGTTGAACCAATACACTTATTATCATTATGTAATACTCCTCCTCCTCCTCCTCCTCCTACTACTACTACTACTACTACTACTACTAATGATAATAATAATAGCAATAATAATGAACTAAATATAAAAAGAGATCCGCGTTTAATATTTCTTCAACAATATTTAAATCTTGATTATCATTTTATGGAATTACATAATGATTGGTTAATATCTATTGTATTAATTAATGTATTGAATTATAAAAGTCAATCTATACCACTTTATACTACTACTAATACTACTACTGATACTACTAATACTACTAGTAATATTGATGATATCACTCAATGTCCTATCTCATTGACATTTGGTGCTATATGTATATGTACATATTTATTAACCATACATTCTAATCATCATTTATCATTCTATAAATTATTAAATAAACATTATTATAAATGTGCAAATTATTTTCTAAAACATATAAAATCTTTGATAAATAATAAAAAAATTGTTAATAAAAAACAATTAAATAAATTAAATATTAATTATGTACATAGATATGGTCAATTACAAATAATTTATATGACATTATATACATTAATTCATTTATTAGATACCATAGTAACAATCAATCAAAAAAATCAATTAAAAACTTGTTTAAATTTTTTATCGATTTATTTTATGTTTCCAAGTGGTTATCTTTTTCATAATATATGTCATTGTATTAGTTTCATTCCATCCAATAATAATAATAATAATAATAATAATAATGATAGTAATGAACGTTATCATTATGTACGTAATGTAATTATCAAAGAATTATTAAATTATAATCATCATACTAATCAATATTTAAATGATGCATTTAATTTATTTGATCAATATTTACAAATGTGTAATAGTAATCCATTCAATCATGTATTGAATAAATCTTTGAAAAAATTCAATTTTATAAATCATTCAAAATCATTAAAAGAGAATGTAATCAAACAAGATTTATTGCCCATAGCAACAACAACAACACCATCACCACCACCACCACCAACAACAACAACAAATAAACCAATTCAAATGAAAATGAAAAAAATAAAGAAAAAATGTAAATTATCAAAAAATAATAATAAACAATGTAAACAATTATCCTATGCTGAAATAGAAGAAAAAGTTAGAAAATTAATGTTAGAAAATGGTTTATTAGATTAAAGATAAAAAGTAAGGAGAGATTTTTTATCATCTGTGTATTGTAAATAGTATTTTTTTTTAAAAAAAATACATGGTATTTATTGAAGAATTCTTTTAGTGTTCTATTCTACATTAATGAAGTCGATATCAGATGTTTGTTTAGTCTAAGATAATGAATGATACAAACAAGGACTTACTTTACTTATTTACTTAGGCCTCTTACTCCCAATGGTGCCCCTAAATGCCCTGGTACTGCCGAGAGTATGGAGAGTCCGCTCTCCCTCTCGAAATGCTCTCACATGGCCACGTGTATATAGCCTCTACCAGGGAAGTCCTACTCAATGCCTTTTCGTGGCGGGGGTGTTGTTTACGAAAATGAGAAGACGAAAAGCGAATGTCCGGCGCTTTAACCGGATTCCAAACCAATGGTGCACATGGGCTCCAGTATCCTGGGGAACAAATGGCGTATGGACCAATCGTTGGTCACCGGTTACCATGCGACTGCATCTCCTTACGATGCTCCACTGCCTTGTGGATCAGACCTGTAGGTCGAAGGCTCGGGGAGAGGTCCCTTAAGAAAACCACCTGCTTCGGTCTGGACACCCGGGCAGTATCACAACCCTCACACATATCAAATGAGATTTGTGTGGCGCATATGTATTTGGTGCCTCCTTGTACCAATATCCATGTGTTAAAATAAATAAATAATAAATAACTCCCAATGGAGCATAAGTCGCCGACCTGCATCCTCCAACCCATTCTGTCTTGGATCTTCCTTTCTAGTTCTATTTAATTTTTGTTCATTCTACTCATGTCTATTTCCATTCCTCAGTGTAATGTATTCTTTCGTCTTTTCTCTTTTGGCCTTGAGGATTCTATGTGAGGGCTTGCTTTGTGATGCGGTTGGTGCTTCCTCAATGTGTGTCCTATCCACTTCCAGCGCTTCTTAATTTCTTTCTCCTTTGGAATCTGGTTTGTTCTCTCCCATAGTACGTTGTTGCTAATAGTGTCCGGCCAACGGATCCGAAATATTTTTCGTAGACAACTGTTAATAAACACCTGTATCTTCTGGATGATGGCTTTCGTAGTCCTTCAAGTTTCCGCCCTATACAATAGAACTGTTATGACATTTGTATTGAAAATGCTGACTTTGATGTTAGTTAACAGACAGTTGTTTTGAGTTTCAGATGTTCTTCAATTGTAAATATGCTGCTCTTGCTTTGCCAGTCCGTGCCTTCACATCTGCATCAGATCCACCCTGTTTATCAATGGTGTTGCCCAGATATGTAAAGGCTTTTACATCTTCCAAATCTTGTCCGTCAAGTGTGATTTGATTGGTGCATGTTGTGTTGTATAGGAGAATCTTGCTATTCCTTTTGTGCATGTTGAGATTTACTGCTGCTGAGTTTACTGCCACACTAGTGGTTTTCTGCATTTGTTGTTACGTGTGCGATAGAATAGCCAGATCATCTGCGAAGTCTAGATCGTCCAGCACAAACAAGGGCTTAATTGTTCTTCATTTATACACTCAGAAAGAAAATATAGAATGATTAACTGTTTGTAGAATAGGACAAATGTTATAGAGTTATCGTCAACCCAACGAAGCAAGGACAAACATCTGCCAATAATATTGATAGTCAGTTGATGATGAAATTTTTACACTCAAAAGTAAGAAAGAAGTGTTAGGCCACTAATAAAATATTTTAAAAGCGACTAGTTTCCATAATTGCAAGGATGAGTTAAATTACTTTGCATAATAGTTACTATTTCGCTTGATAATTACGATCAATGTTGGAAGACCTTAAAAAATAGCTTAAATTCGGTCTCAGTACATTAATTCTAAACCTTCCTCAAAATCTTAATTTTCAATATTATTTCATAACAATTATCCCCTCATATCATTTCTTCTTTCCTGAGTATTTCCCATATCCAGTCTTTTTTACTTCCATGGGTTTTATTACTATTCTTTAGACGATATTAATCAACCTAGACTGATGGCCATATTACAACTTGATTGAAAGAATCTGATGAGCAATAGAGAATTGAACAAACAATGACAATGGCCACTAATGAGGGTTCAATCACTGCAAATTATTTCAACTCTTTTGTTACTGTTAAGTCCCCTTATTCGGCCTAATATTCCTCTACTGTCTAGTATTTTCGGATAATTTACTCACTCGATTAGTTTCAAATCAAAACAACATCTGAATAGAACTTAAATACACTCTAAGAAAAACAGCAAAAATATTAATGTATGTATAAATTTTCACAAGAATATTCCAGTATTCTCAGCTCATTTATCGAAGCCTTTCAATGTGATTTTGTTTGAGATATACTTTGAAAAAATGTCTGTCCGACCAGTAGTTACTGATCTTAGATAATATAATTTCACTGTGTGACTGAGTGAATAGACCATTCAAGTTCATGAGAAGCTTAGTTAGTAGACCTGAATTTGGAGGTGTTAGATTGATAATAAATTCTTTTTCTAAGATTATTTGCATATAATATATGGTGAGTCGTTCGAAAAAAATAAGGGTTTATGCTGTTATCCTCCATGAGGAAGTTATTTTAGTTTCAGAATTTATGTTACTTATAAGTAACACATTCAGTTGAGCTGACATTTTTGAATACAAACTCAGAAAGTGAACCCAATCAAAATTTGAGAAAGGAAAATCAACTATACATAGTTACGTGACAATAATTGTTAAAATACGTAACAACTATTACATATATCAAACAGCGATTCTATGCAAAAGATCACTTAGGTTTTTCGACTAGCTTTACAAATTGCACCAGAAGATGAAAGTAAGAAAAAAAAGTAGACTTGCAAATCTTTATATTTCAATTTTTTAACGCTTTAACGAAATAATTCAAAATATTTCATCGGAATTACTGACATTGATAGACACTTGACATACTTGCGGCTGTTATCCGTTGAGGAGCATAGGCCGCCCACCAGCATTCTCCATCCAACTCTGTTCTGGGCAATCCTATCTAGTCGCTATTCATTCTTTTGATATCTCCTTCCCATTCCCGTTGCAATATGTTTCTTTGTCTTTCTGTCTTCCTTTTCCTTTAAAGATCCCAAATTAGGCCTTGCCTCTTGATACAGTTTGATAATTTCCACAGTGTATGTCTTATCCACCTCCAACGTTTTTTCCCAGTTTCCTCTTCAGGTGAAAGCCAGTTTATTCTCTGCTATAGTAGGTTGTTACCGTTAGTATCCGGCCAACGGGTCTGGAATATCTTGAGTAGACAATCGATTATAGATATTCCTACTATTTTTACGATGGTTGCGATAGTTCCCCAAGTTTCAGCCCCGTTCAATAGAACTATCTTGACGTTCGTATTCAAAATTCTGACTTTGATATTGATTGGCAGTTGTTTTGAGTTGCATATATTCTTTAACTGTAGAAATACTGTCCTTGCTTTTCCGACCCGTGCCTTCATATCTTTATCAGGTTCCCTTTGTTTATCAGTGGTTCTGCCCAGGCACGTGAAAGTTCCCACCTCTTCCAGAACTTCTCTACCAAGTGTGATTGGGCTGGTGCTCTCGGTGTTATATTTGGGGATCTCGGTTTTTTCTTTGTGTATGATGAAGCCTACTGATGCAGAAGCTTCTACTACACTGGTTGTCATGACCTGCATTTGTTGGTGTGTACTGGGTAGAAGGTATGGATAAACTAAGAAGTACAAATCGTCTAGCCGCATGCAAGCTGTCCATCATATTTCGTGCTTCCCATCAGATGTTGAGGTTATCATAGTTCAGTCAACCACCAGATGAAAGAGAAAAAGGGGGGAGTAAGTAGCCTTGTCTGACTCCGGTCCTCACTTAGAATGCATTTGTCAGCTGTTTTGCATGTACCACTTTGCATTTTAATCCGTCAAATGAATTCTGTATGATGTTGATGATTTTCTCAGGTACACTATAGTGTTTAAGAAGGTTCCATACAACCCCCATATCGGCTCTATTAAACTCTTTCTTGTAGTCAAGGAAGTTGATATATAGTGACGAGTCCCGTTCAGCTGATTGTTCAACAATGATATATAGTGTTGTGATTCGGTCTTAACACGACTGATCCTTATGGAATCCAACCCGTTGATCTCGAAGTTGGGTGCCTACCGAATCTTTTATTCGGTCCAAAAACACTTGAAAACGTTTCATGGAACTGATAGTATTATAATGCCTATGTAGTTTTCACATTTGCTCAGATATGCTGTTTTGGTCTCTTGATGATGTATGCTTCTTTTCAGTCTGTCGGCACTTGTTCTTCTACCCAGATCCTTCTGAATAGGATGTGGAGCATCCTTGCAGTTACCTGAGTGTTTGATTTCGGCGCTTAAGCTGGTACGTTGTCTGATCCCGCTGCTTTCTCACTCTTGATCTGTTTGGTGTTCATGCTGATTCCTTCGATCGACAGCCATAGGAAGATTGTGTATGCTGCTTCGATGTCCAGTGGGCTTAGTGGGGCTGGTCTATTTCCAAGTTCTTCAGAATGTTCTACACACCCGTTCCGCTGTTCTTGAATCTTAGCGATAGGCTTGCTGCTAGTTTCTTCTTTATCGATAAGTTTTGCTAATTGAACGCTAGATTCGGTTCCTAAGCTCTTTTAATAACCCACAGGCTAAATCTACACATCGATTTGAACACGAGAGAAAAAACGCTAAATATGTAAGAAACACTTTACTCCAAAGGTTCATTTACGTAAAGAAAAATCTAGGGTTTTTATAGTATTTTAGATGTTCTTGGGTTTCCCGAAAAGTCTGGAATACTACTAGACATAGTAGCAGTATAGGAAATTATCCAATCAGAAACTCGACATGTGACTTTTCACTTTCTAGGTCTTTCTGGTAAAACTTCTAGTGAGTGCTGATTAGATAAAAAGCCTCTCAGCGTTTTCACAGTCTTTGTTGGCTTTTTTCTAGGAGTTTTCTTGATCTCTTCAACAGTTATACCATATAGTTGTCTGATATTTCCTTCTGCTGCAGCTTTTTTCACTATCATTGCCAGGTCTTCTACATATTTCTGCTTGTCGGCTCTAATGCTCTTCTTTACTTTCTTATTTGTTTATGTGTATTCAGCCTGTGCCTTGACTTTCTCTGTTCTTGCTTGACTGTTGTTAATTGGTGTCTTCTTGTTCTCCCTTTTTGAATCCTGTTCAGGATTTTGATGGAAATGCATTCTTTATGGTGTTTCTTATGACCCAGAACCTCCTGACACATTGAAGTTAAAGTTGCATTAATCCCTTTCCAGTTGTTCTCCATAGTAGTTTCTTTTTCTGTGAGTA